TCCTGAGACTCCCACCCACTCCAAGCCAGACTGATTCCCTGTACTCCAATTCTGTCTTACTCCAATGTTTACCAGAAATCTGAGAGGGAAGTGGGTGAAGGCACTCTCTGCCTCAGGTGAGGTGATGGCTGGTGATCAAACTGGACAGGGAACCAGGACTGGGATGAGTTGGGTCACCAGCTCTCACCTAAGACCTGAGGAAACAGAACCAGGGCCACATTCAATTAGGCAAATTCCAGGGTTCTTTAAAATATTCACTGAAAATACATATTATGAAATAAATATGCAAGGATTAGAACATTTTTATACTACATTAAATAGATACTTTAATTAATAATTTATGGTAGGGTAAGTGCACTTTCTGGACAGAGACAGAATGATAGAAAGTGAGAAAGCACCTCCAGGAGTATGATCATATCATGATCTCTTCAAGATTTTGGACACATATGAACACACAATTAGTTTTTCTTTTTTCTTTTTGAGATTTAATTACTTTATTTACTTTTTTTCTTATTTTTATATTCAATCACTGTACATCTTTACAGCTTAATGAATTTTTCCATCATGTATACATTGTATATTAGTCCAGTCAAAGATGTTGCCTTGGAAATTATCATCACCAGATAGTTTTCCATTTTTTTGTTCATTCAAATATTTTGCTTTTCTTTTTTTACCCCTTGATTCTGTCCCTCACACTCCAGTCCCCTATTGTCCACCCTCCTCCCACACAGTCTCTGCTATCTACAGTTACTCTCCATGCCTTTATACCTTCTAGTCTTTCAGTTTCCATCATAGAATGCAAACATTTTGTATATATTAAACAGGGACATTCAAGGTTTCTTTTTCACACTCTGGCTTGCTTAATTCAGCATTATTAAATCTTTTATTTTGCCTCCTTTTGATCAAATGCCAGGGTCTCATTTTTTTTTTTTAATGGATGAGCAGTATTCTGTAGTGTATATGTGCCACATTTTTTCAATCCATTCAACTGTTCTGCGACTTTTGGATTGATCGTGACCTGTTTTTTAAGCTACCAGGTCTGAGATTTGAACCTCATAGTCAATCATATGGGGTCTGGCCACCTTAACCTCCACACCACCTGATTGGCCTAATAAATGCATGCTTGAATTCAGTTTTCCACAGGCCTTTTTGAAGTCCCTTCATACAGGTGATTTTTTGAACAAAGTAGAGTTAGGAACCTCAACCTGCACAGCTAAAAATCCATGTGTAGCTTTTGACTCCCTCATAAAAGTAGCTATTATTGGCCAAAAGTTTACTCATAACCATAGATGACTAATATATTTTATGTATGTATTATATGCTGTATTTTTACTATAAAGTACTCTGGTTTTCCAGTCCCATAGCCTGGTGGTTAAGGGAACTGAATGGGCTGCAGTTCAGATTTTGGCCTGGTGGCTTAAGCAATGTGCTGGTGCATTTGTGTGTGGGCCATGGCACTGACTGGCTGGAGAGATGAAGGAAACGGGATGGGGCATGACCACTTCCTATTGTGGAATGTTTTCTTCCTTTCCCCCCTCTCCTCATTATCTGGAAATTAAAAAAGAATAGTAAGCCAGATAAAATATTAAGAAAATAATAAGGAAAATAGAAGCATAGTGTTTATTTAAAAACTTCAGTTCAGGTATAGTGGACCTGCCTGCTTCAAAACCACATTGTTCAGGGTCAACTATACTGAGCATATGTGAAGTGTCATTGAAAAGGGTGTAGTTTGACATGAATATAGCAAAGTCTTGTTCTTGGAGGGCATGCAATATGTTAAGAGTTTGGCACAAAGAGGGACCAGCAGTTGGTGTAATGGCTATGTTGTTGGACTCACATGTAGTCGATCGTGGTTCAAGTCCCGGACCCAGTGGCTTAAACTCATGCCAAGCACATCATGTGCATGCATGTCCAAGATCCTGAGAGGAGAATGGAGAACAAGGATTTGCGGTTTGGACATCCCCCCTGAGGGGTGATTTCTCACGTTCTATCTCTCTGTATCTCTTTGTCTTTCTGGTGAACACACGCACTTCATTCGGAAAAAACCTCTCCAGAAACAAAACAAAACAAAAAAGAGTCTAGCACAAAGATTCATGGTGTGTTATTCAGGTTAGAAGCCTGGCATCAAGAATTAGTCAGATCTAGACTTTGGTCACAAGGAGGCCACTGTTTAACTGTGTGACTTGGGGTGGTAGCTTCCCTTCTCTGAGCCTGTTTTCTCATCCTAAAAATGGAAACAGTAAAGAAATCTATCTCATAAAGTGACTTTGAAAACTCATTGACATAATGATGTGAAAGCATACAGTAAAGGAACAGTAAGGAATGCCCAGGAACAAGAATGCTGCTGTCTGTGGCCAGGTTGATAGGGGCTTTCATAGTGACTCCAAAACAGTGGAGAAATACATACAAGTGTCTAACGTCTGGAAGAAGACCACAGCATGAGTTAGGGTCATTGGAGCAAGCACGGGTTGCTGAGTAGCACAACCCTAGGCACTGGGTCCTAGGCGATGCTCACCAAACACTCAGAGCTGCCATGGAAGTGGGCCTGTGCTCAGATGGTTGGCCCCCATCAAATATTTGTGTGCTCACCCTCCTCTCCTAGCCTGGCTCACATCATTATGGGCCACATGAATAGTTCTGGATGGAGCTGCATGTAGAAGTGATGTCTGGGGCATGTCAGTGGAAACTGATGTGTCTGCTCCATCTCTTTCTTCCCATGCTGTGGTGACTCCAGTGACCAAGAGTGCCAAGGGCCAGGCTACCAGCCCCTCAGATCTTGTAAGAAAAGCAGACAGGGCCAGTCAGTGGAGTGGTAGTCGAGGTGCCTTGGTCTCACATGGCCGGCTGTGCTGTTCAAGTGTTGTACCCAGCAGCTTCAGTAACACACCCAGAATGTGTGCATGAGTTCCCTAAACTCTGAAAGAAAAATAAAGAAGGGATTGCAGTATGGTTGTTCTCCATGGGGGTAGGGGGGTGATTTCTCCCTCCTCTCCTGCCCCCTCACTTTCTGGCAAGCATATGTGCCACATAGAAAGTTTTTTCTAAAAGAAAAGGAAAGGGACCAGCAGATGATGTACTGGTTACGTCACTGAATTCCCACATACATAGGAATACATCATGGTTCAATTCCTGGAACCAGCGACTTAAAACTCATGCTGGGGATGTGTACATGTGTGCATAAGATTCCTAGAAGAGAATGAAGGAGAGAGGACTGCAGTGTGGCCATCCATCCTGGGACATGATCTCTTGATTTCTGTCTCTGTCTTTTTTAAGCACCCTCATGCCCTACAGCAAAAATTTCTCTCTCTCTCTCTCTAAAACAAAACAAAACAAAACAAAACAAACAAACAAAAAACAAGAAGAAGAAAGAAAGTAGACAGATTGGTATCGTTATCGTGTTTAGTCTGGGAGATTTTGGGGTTACAGCTGAGGCAAGGGAGTGAGAGTGGTTTTCATTTGGGTGACATGGGTGAGTGAGGGCATAATCCTGTGAAAGACAACAAAAGCAACCACTTGTGGTGCTGTTAACAAAGGGGAGGAGCTGGGACAGCAAGTGGTGTGGACATTAAGGTGCCAGATGCACATGGCTGGCAGTATAGTTCATCTCAGACCCAGTGGCTTGAAAAACACTGAGTGCACAAAATTCTGAGTGGAGAATGGAGGAGAAGGGATTGTTGCATGGCCATCTCCTATGGGGGATGCTTTCTTACTTTCTGCCTCTCTTCATCTCTCTCTGATGAGCACAGGCTTTGTATAGAAAAATCTTTCAAAAAAATAATAAGAGGGTATGAGGGAGAGACAGAGCCCACTTTGGGAGCCTAGGGTACCACTAACAGATGTGAGGATAGCTGGAGAAGGATCTAGATTATGGTCTAGGTTAGGATGCTAACTGTAGTTTTAAACTTTAGGAAGTGGGAAGGCAAAGATATTCTGCAGGCAGGTCTGAGTTTCCAGAGAAAGATCAGAGCTAGAGAAATACAGGAGAATCATGTGTAGTAGGCTGAGTTGAAGATGAGAGAGACCTTTAAGGGAGTGTGTAGACATAGAATATGGGTAGCAGAACCACTTACATTTCTCTAATTAGTAAAAGGGGGCAGAGGGACCAGCCAAGTGGGCAGAAAAAAAACAGGGGAAGGAGATCAGAATGATGAACCTGCAAAGGGCCCAAAGAGACAACCCAGTACACCAGATAAGAGTGCAAGCTTTGGAATAAAACTGCTTCAGGTCAAATACCCGCTTGGACCACCTGGTGGCAGTATAGTGAAGGTTGATTCCACATAGCCAACTGTGCAGTTTGAGTCCTGGACCCTCCAGATTGAAAGACATGTGTGTGTGTGTGCACATGCTCAAAATTCCTAAAGGAGAATGAGGAAGAGGGATTTGGGGAGAAGAAAGGCAGGTGTGACCCAGATGATTTGGGAGGAAAGGTGACTTTGGGAGTGCAAGTGAAGGTCAGGCTGGGGATGAGTGGTTGAGACTGACTCCAGGTAAGAGACGTGCAGATCCCTTCCTGGGGTCAGGGTATGGCCCCTCCATAAAGGAGGGATCTGGGAGGGATGGTGTCTGGAGGACCAGATGAGGGGGTTCTGGAAGGTGATACTCTGGGATCAGAAAGTCTGAGGCAGAGCTGTGAGAAATCAGCAAAGGGACTGTGAATTGGAGCACATTTGCCCTGCTGTCCATGTTGGGGGTCTGCAGGGCTGGAGAATCCAGGGCTAGGACCACAAAGAAAACTCACAGGTCCCACAGGTGACTAAAACTTCACAATGGAGACCATAATCCCCACACAGAAAGCTATGCCCACACACAGAGAGTAGGCCCTGCAGCTTTCATTGTGACTTCACCTGTCCTAACTGGCCAAAGGTATTCTGGCCACGCCCTCTTGCCTTTTATCTTTCTCATAGACCAATAGGATTTGAGAATTGAGGCTACACCCATTCCGTGAGCCTTGGAAACTCCCTGACTTGCCTCTTCTGGCTCAGTCACAGGCTGGTGAGATAGTGAGCAGAAGTGTCTTCTCTGCAGTTACCAGATAGCAGTCATGTGGTCCCACCCCTTCCCCCAGCCCTGCCTCGAGATGTCAGAGGAAACCCAAAAGAAGAAATTGTCTGCAGTCAAGAGAAAGGTAAAATATGCCAGCTCGATCCCAATACCCAGCTGGAGGCCCCTCCTATGGCCAGACGGTGGGCAGAGTCTGTGCTATCCCTAGGACACACAAAGCCAACCACTGGGTACCCCTTGGCTCCCTGCCACCAGATCCTCTTAGCCAGCCTCACCCCCTCAGTATTCCTGTTCCTGCTCTTGGTGTACCTGGTGACTCCGGGCTGGTGACTAGTGGGGATCCTGCTCTGGTCTAGGCCCTGGCCTCCTGCTTCTCCAAACCAGACCTCCCCAGGCACCTAGGTCTCCAGTAGCCTGGAACCTCTGTCCCTGGCCTGTGCTCCCCTCCCCACCATGGAGTGGCTAATCTGGTATGGGTGGAGAGGAGTGGAATGTAGTTATGTCACAATCCCCCTCAGAACTGTCATCTTCCAAGTCTGGCCTTTCATCTTCTGACCCAACCCTTTAGTGTATTCATCCTCTTTTGGGGTTTCTCTGGTCGCTGCACAAATCTCCACCTAGAAAAGGACTGGGGACTAGGGGACCTAGGACAATGAGGTCTCAGGCACCCTTACTCCCTTAACTAAGGCAGTGTGAAAAATCTATATTCATTGGTGACTCCAAACATTGATGTTATCTCTGGGTGGTAGTGAGTGAAGGAGTTTGATTTGGTTTAATTTTTCCCCCTGTTTCTACTCTCCAGAGGGACTTTACATTTTTCCCCTGAGTTCTCCATCTCACATTCAAATTCCCTATGAATGGGACCAGAGTGTCCTTCACTCTCTAGAGTGAGAGAGAGAAGCTTAATATTTGCAGAATAAAATTTACAACCTGAATCATCTTCAAATCGTCATGTCAACCTGGGGTGCTCTGAGCACCACAGGATAAATATGGGGGAGGAATTTTCAGTTTTGCTTGATTCTCCAGAAAGAACAAATACATCAGTGCTGTAATTTGTGTAGATTTTTAAGATTTAAGAGACCATTCTGGAAGATGCTTGGGGTGTCCCCTTTCTCTTAGATTCCCAGATTCACTAGGAGTGTGCCTTCACTGTCTTCTGCCCTTAGGATACATTGATAGCAAGTTTCCCATGTATTTGTGCAGGTCTAACAGATGTGTAAGAAAGGACCCCACAGCCCCTCCCCACTGCCCTGGATTTCTAAACTACACAATGGACACTTCCTGCTGTTTTGCTGAATTACAGTGTACTTTTCCACCTCTACCTTCACTTTTGCTCTCTGGTAGCTCCTGATTCATGGCAAAACCCAGACCTCAGAGTCAGAAGACTAAATTAAAAAACATGGTTCTTTAAAAAAAAAAAAAAAAAAGAATTCAGTCTATTTCTTCAGTTCTTAAGTGATTATTATGATAGTTTGTAGGGTTGGTGGGGGCATGAGTAAGAGTATTTTGTAAACACTGCAGCACATGAATTTAGAGAGTTATAGTTCTCATGAGTTTTACTGATTTACTTCCACAGTTGAGAGAATATCAACAGAAGAACTGCCCTGGTACTCTTGCAGCAGCAAAGATGAAGAAAAAAATTAAAACTGGCCATACCCCTAAGGCAATCACCTCTGGTGGTTGTCTCTCTGAAAATGTGAGTCTTGTCTGACCAGGTTTCTGGACTATGGGGCTGAAGGGGCAGTAGAGGGCAATGATTAAGATTGTGAAGGAAGTGTCAGGTACCCGAGAAGGTTGAATAAATGGTAGCAGTATTGGAATTTTCTTATCCCCATCCTCCAGAGGAAGCCAGGCCAGTGAATACAGCCACTTGTCATCAGGCTCTCCCTGTAGGAAGCACTGAAAAAAGACCCAGGCTGTGGGGGGAGAGCCCTGGGAGGTAGGATGGAAAGATCTGAGGTTTGAGTTTATTTGTGGCAGAAGCTTTCTGGGTGACCTCAGCAAAATCACTTTCTGGACCTCAGTTTCCTTATCTGAAAGACAACTTTGCTGGATTAGATCAGAGTCTTTGAACCTTATTTTAAAGCAAATGAATATGGCTGAGTGTCCCTTTGAACAAGGTTGGGTGCACACCAGTGGACACAGTCCTCTGAGAGATGCTAGAGAGAATGTGGCAATATTCAAATGCTCAACTAGGCTGCTTCAGGATGGACTCAAAGCTGCAGGAGGCTAGTTGGAAGACTCAGGGTAGGTTACATTCATCCACTGAGACTAGGAAAAACAGAGAGAGCAATGAGATCACAGCCAGCATTATGTTATCACAGAGCACCTTTTAGGGATGTGAGGAATGGGGGCAGGACCAGAGCATTGGGTTACCCAGACTAGAGAAGACCATGAGATGTGATATTGGCATTTCATCCTCACTGTTTGCCCAAGGGACACCTGCCAAGCCAGAGGAGTAGAGATGAAATAGAGCCAAGGCAGGTCCTGTGAACCATGGCATTCAGAGAGGGACAGGGACAGTGCATAGAGGGTTGGTGTTAGAGGGTGTCACTAATAACAATGTGACTGACTATAGTTCAAGTCCTGACCTTGGTTTGAAGAGCACGATGGGCACATGTACATGCATGTCCAGAATCTCAACAGGTTGGAGAAATGGAGGAGAAGGGATTGGACTGTGACTACACCTCATGGGCAGTGCTTTCTCCCTCTTTCTAGCAAGCAAATATGATTTCTAGCAGTTAAAAAATATCACATTATATGTATATAACTGTCTTTAGGAAAATAATTCCTTTTCTCTCCAGCATTCCTGTCTAATTCTACAGCTCAGTGGAATCCAAGGTCCCAGAAAGGACCAAGAGGCTGCTAGAGTCATAACTAGGAGTACCTACCTCCCCTCCAACTTCTCCTAGCAGGCCTAGCCTCACGCCAGCAGTTAAAGTCTTACGCCAGCAGATCAAGCCTCACATAAGCAGACCATGCCCGACACCAGGATGCCAAGACTCAAACCAGCAGACCAAGTTTCTAACCAATAGGCCAAACCTCCTATCAGCAGGCCATGCCTCACGCCTCCAGGACAAGAAACATGCCACTAGTTCAAGCCTCACACCAGAAGGCCAAGCCTAAAACCAGTAGGCCAGTCCTCAAATCAGCAGGCCTACCCTCATACCAGCAGGCCAAGCCTAACTTCAGGAGGCCCACCTCACTCCACCAGGCTAAGACTTTCTCCACCAGGCCAAGCCTCACACCAGGAAGCCAATCTTTACCCCAACAGGCTAAGCCTCACTCCAGCAGGCCAAACCTGAAGCCATCTGACTAAACCTCATGCCAGCAGGCCAAGCCTCATGCTACCATGCCAAGCCTCACAGCAGTAGGCTAAGCCTCACCTCACCATTCCAAGCCTCACATCACCAGGTCAAACCTCCCAACAGCAGGCCAAGCCTCACAAAAGCAGGCCAAGCCTCAAGCAACTATGCCAAGCCTCACAAAAGCAGGCCAAGGCTCATGCCAGCATTCCAAGCCTCATGCCACCAGGAAAAGCCTCACGCCACTAGGTCAAGCCTTATGTCAACAGGCCAAGCCTCATGCCAGCAGTCCAAACCTCACTCCATCAAGCTAAACCTCACTCCACCAGGTCAATCCTCACACCACCAGGCTAAGCCTCACACCAGGAGGCCAAGGCTCACCCCACCAAGCTAAGCCTCATGCCAGTAGGCCAAGCCTGATGCCATCTGGTTAGGCCTCATGCCACAAGGCCAAGACTCACACCAGCACTCTATGCCTCAATCCACGAGGCTAAGCCTCACACCAGCTGGCTAAGCCTCACACCAGCAGGCCAAGCCTCAAACCAGCAGGCGAAGCCTCACACTAGCATGTCAAGCCTTATACTACCAGGTCAAGCCTCACACCAGTAGACCAAGCCTCACCCTACCATGCTAAGCCTCATGCCAGCATGCCAAGCCTCATGCAAGTAGGCCAAGCCTCACTTCACCAGGCCAAGCCTCATTCTACCAGGCCAAGCCTCACACTACCAGGCAAAGCCTCACACCACCAGGCAAAACCTCACCCTGCCAAGCTAAGCTTCATGCCAGGAGGCCAAGCCTCAAGCTAAACCCAGTTGTGCTAAAAGGACAAGATGTGATTCAGCCTCCTGATACGAACATGTACCATCCACTCCTCACTGCAGGAA